AAAGGTACCGGGACACATAGGTACCGGGAAACATAGGTACCTGGGTACTGGGACACAAAGGTACCGGGACACATAGGTACCGGGAAACATAGGTACCTGGGTACTGGGACACATAAGTAGCGGGACACATAGGTACCGGGAAACATAGGTACCTGGGTACTGGGACACATAAGTAGCGGCACACATAGGTACCGGGAAACATAGGTATCGGGACACATAGGTACCGGGACACATAGGTACCGGGACACATAGGTACCTGGGTACTGGGACACATAAGTAGCGGCACACATAGGTACCGGGAAACATAGGTATCGGGACACATAGGTACCAGGACACATAGGTACCGGGACACATAGGTATGGACCCCAGACACGTCTCCGGCAGTCGCAGGAGTACTTAGGCCGAACTGTCCCTGCAACGCGATCGCACTCTATGTGTCGGTCAGTGGAAAAAACCTGTAGGCTAATTGTTCACACTAGTACGTTAACGATGCAAATAGACAATTGTAAACAAAAAAGTCAATAGAATTACTAAGACAATCGAAAACAATTGTAACGCGTACGCTGCTTTACTGGGAAAATATACAATATAATTGTAGTATCGTATTATTCCGCTCTGCACCCGTTATTTCCCCGTGTCTATTTTCTCTTCCCTGCTTCCACGACTTTTCCCCCTCCCCCCCAGTAGCAATCATCTACCCGTCTACCACTGTAGCCTCAACAGCAGCCTACACGAGTAGATAGCTAGCTTTAGCGAAACCCTGTTGTTACCAGCAAGGTCAACGATGAAGTGAATATATATATATATATTTATTTATATATTAATGCCTGTTGTTGAGGGCATTATGCTCTCATAGTGTTGCTGAGGGAAAGTATAGTGACCGAGCGGTAGCGAGGACTAATACGTGTCTACTCAAATTCACACCAAAGCTCATATGCATTGGACACATCAGTGTGCTTACGCTCTCGGCCGTCGCATCAACAAATGCTCTCATCGCCCTCTAGGTAGACAGGTACATTGCAATATCGCGACCTCTACACTACTACCAGATCGTCACACCGCGCGTTATCTTGTTAATGGTAGTCCTTGTTTGGGGCATTGCCTTGGCCATAAGCGTGATTACGTCAGTTGGCAACCGCTGGCAGCCGGATCTACCATGCGTCTATGACATCGTTTCGAGTAGAATATCTGTTATCTTAACCTCGGTACTTATTATGACGTGTGGCGCCGCCCTCGTCTCCATCTACGCATACAAAATGATGATTGCCAAGCACCACCAGCGGCAGATCCACCAGGAACCGAGCAGCAGCGGTTCGCAGGAGGCAAGAGCGACCGGAAAATCCTTCTCTGCCGAGCTCGCCAAGCATCTGAAGCTTGCCAAGACGTTTGGCATAGTCGTTGGCGCCTTCGTCGCCTGCTGGACTCTGTACCTCTTCCTGATGCTGCTGAGCGTCGCCGACGTCTACCACGACACGCTCGGAGTGGCGACAGGCTTCGGCTGTATCATGGCAGACTCCAACTCTTTCATGAACTTTTTCATATATGCTTCAAAGAGCAGTCAGTTCCGCGCCGCCTTCCGGGCTGTGTTGCCCTCGCGTGGACACTCGAGACGTGTCTACTGTCCAACCTTACTGGAATTATCGCGACTGTTTCATCCGTTCGATTAAGTGTTTAAGCAGGTAGTTCGATTTAGTTTTTACGTTAGCCGAATTTCGGGCGGGGTTCGGGGCAGTGTTGCCCAAGCGTTTGCCACTAAAGAACGTGGAATGTGCCGTTAAATATGGTTTACAATCTTCTCAGAGAGTTTTACGTATACTTCGTTAGCGTAAAATCAATTGGCGCAGAAATGTATCAAACTTACTTTCTATTCATGTTGCGAAGCTTACTTAAATGAGGAAAATGTATACATCGCATAGATTGCCACCAGGTTTCATATTAGTGAAGGCTATTGCCACGATTCATGCTTTCTCGTGGCGGAGGGTTGACAGCTGGGGACAGTCTAAGCTGTGCACGCGCCAGCTGCAAATGTCCCTTTCATTGGGTGGGGCAGTGCGACTGATATCTTCATCCGGTACGTCCAAGTAATTAGGTACAACAATACCCCGCATCACGCTAGTTAAATGATTCGTGAGCACGAATGACGCGTGTCTGTGGAGAATCTAAGGGCTCAACGATGTAATATAGTAAATTATGTATATTTAATTATGTAGCATAGTATCGTGACAACGCTACGAGATAAAATTATAGTTCAGAAATAGAATTGCTGAGAGGGCGATGGGGAGACATTATTACGTATAAAAGACATAAAATTAATGCGAAGCGGCAGAGGCACGCCATTAGTGTTACAGAGCTGGCGTGGTAAGATTCATTTCTGCATCATGGCGACAGCTAATGGTTCACTGTGCAACATCTCCGGGTCCGTGTCCGAGAATGGAAGCTGGATCGGCTGCATGGAGTCGGATATTGAACAGGGCGCAGTCCCAGCAATTCAGGCGTGGATCGCTTACATGCTGATTCCTGTCAACATTCTCAACATACTTGCTAATCTTCTCGTCATCTTGGCTGTGACACGGACATCTCACACACACACACACACACACACACACACACACACACACACACACACACACACACACACAGTCATGCGAGTAGTGTTACGGAGCTTTCTGTGGATGTTCAAAAATAGAATTGCTGAGAGGGAGAGGCGAGAAGTCGACATTATTACGTATAAAATGCATAACTGTAACGCGAAGCGGCAGAGGCACGCCATTAGTGATACGAAGCTGGCGTGGTGAGATTTATTTCTGCATCATGGCGACAGCAAATGGTTCACTCTGCAACATCTCCGGGTCCGTGTCCGAGAATGGGAGCTGTATCGGCTGCATGGAGTCGGATATTGAACAGGGAACGGTTAAAGCGATTCAGGCGTGGATCGCTTACCTGCTGATTCCTATCAACCTGATCAGCATATTTGCTAATCTTTTCGTTATCGTGGCTGTGACACGGACATCACACCTGCAGGAGCCGGCACCCAAGCTGATCGCAAACTTGGCTGTCGCTGATTTTATTATATGCGTCCGAATAGTCTTCATCGCACCAATGACCTTTTTAATCGAATTCCCGCCAAAGATCATATGCTTTGGATATTGCGCTGTCGTTACGCTCTTGGCACTCGCATCAACAAACTCTCTCATTGCAATCAACGTAGACAAGTACATTGCAATATTGCGACCGCTACACTACTACCAGATCGTCACACCGCGCGTTATTTTGTTAATGGTAGTCTTGGCTTGGAGCTTTGCCGTCTTCTTAAGCGTGTCAAGTCTCATTGGCAACCGCTGGCAGCCGGATCAACTATGCATCTATGACATCGTTTCGAGTAAAAGAGCTGTCATCTCTGGCTCGGTTTTTACTGTTATGTGTGTCATCGCCATCGCCTTTATCTACGCATACATGATGATGATTGCCAAGCACCACCAGCGGCAGATCCACCAGAAACCGAGCAACAGCGGTTCACAGGAGGCAGGAGCGACCGGAAAATCCTTCTCTGCCGAGCTCGCCAAGCATCTGAAGCTTGCCAAGACGTTTGGCATCGTCGTCGGCGCCTTCGGCGTCTGCTGGACTCCGCACTTTATCCTGATGCTGCTGAGCGTCCCCGACGTCTACCACGACACGCTCGGCGTGGCGACAGGCTTTGGCTATATGATGGCAGACACCAACTCTTTCATGAACTTTTTCATATATGCTTCAAAGAACAGTCAGTTCCGCGCCGCCTTCCGGGCTGTGTTGCCCTCGCGTGGACACTCGAGACGTGTCTACTGTCCAACCTTACTGGAATTATCGCGACTGTTTCATCCGTTCGATTAAGTGTTTAAGCAGGTAGTTCGATTTAGTTTTTACGTTAGCCGAATTTCGGGCGGGGTTCGGGGCAGTGTTGCCCAAGCGTTTGCCACTAAAGAACGTGGAATGTGCCGTTAAATATGGTTTAAAATCTTCTCAGTGAGTTTTGCGAATACTTCCATATCGGAAAATATCTATATCGCATAGCTTGCCACCGAGTTTCATATTAGTGACGACTATTGCCAAGATTCATGCTTTCTCGTGGCGGAGGGTTGACAGCTGGGGACAGTCTAAGCTGTGCACGCGCCAACTGCTAATGTCCCTTTCATTGGATGTGGCAATGTGGCTAGTAGTTTCACACGATACGTCCTCGTAAGTAGGTACAACAATACCCCGCATCACGCTAGTTATACAATTCAGGAAATGAACGAAACGTTCCTATAGAAATTCTTACAGTTAAAGCCGCACTATGCGCATCCAAACGCTAATTTCTTCAGTACTAGACTAACGAATACTTCGTGTCATGCATAATCACACTACCTTATTAGAAAATAAACTCTAGTTCCTCCCATTTCACTGCGCGTTTGCTTAAAACCCACAAGAAAGAGGTGAGAAAACTGGCATTCTGGCGCTAACGCCGACTTGTTTGCCAAACAATTTAGCCTCGAAGCGGTTAGGTGACGTCACATGTTTTTATCTTTGCTACAGCCGTACCGCTGTACCGCAGTACCGCTGTGCGGTTGCTTGGCAGGGCAACTCGAAAATGTCAACAACATCGGGGAATTTGAACAACATTGGATGTATTTTCAAATGCGTTTTAAAAAAGAACGCGCAGTGAAATGGGAGGAACTAGAGTTTATTTTGTCATAAGTTAGTGTGATTATGCATGAAACAAAGTATTTACTAGTCTAGTACTGGAGAAATTAGCGTTTGGATGCGCATAGTGCGGCTTTAAGTAATATAATAGCACGACATTTATTTATGTAACTCGTATCGAGATAATACTGCAAGGAAAATAAAGTTCGGAATTGCAATTATTGGGAGAGAGCGAGAGGAGGAAGAGAGAGAGAGAGAAAGAGAGAGAGAGAGATAGAGAGAGAGAGAGAGAGAGAGAGAGAGAAAGAAGGGGGGACACTACTACCTATAATATACGTCAATATTATTTGAATCGTCAGTGTGTGTCGTGACACATCATTATAGTGTTACAGAGCTGGCGTGGTGAGATTCATTTCTGCATCATGGCGACAGCTAATAGTTTACTGTGCAACATCTCCAGGTCAGTGTCCGAGAATGGGAGCTAGATCGGCTGCATGGAGTCGGATATTGAACAGAGAACGGTTAAAGCGATTCAGGCGTGGATCGCTTACCTGCTGATTCGTATCGACATGCTCAATATACTTGTTAATCTTCTCGTCATCTTGGCTGTGACAAGGACATCACACCTGCAGGAGCCAGCACACAAGCTAATCGCAAACTTGGCTGTCGCTGATTTTATCTTTGGCGTCCGTGGAATCCTCATCGCACCAATGACCTTTCTACTCAAATTCACACCAAAGCTCATATGCATTGGACACATCAGTGTGCTTACGCTTTCGGCCGTCGCATCAACAAATGCTCTCATCGCCCTCTAGGTAGACAGGTACATTGCAATATCGCGACCTCTACACTACTACCAGATCGTCACACCGCGCGTTATCTTGTTAATGGTAGTCCTTGTTTGGGGCATTGCCTTGGCCATAAGCGTGATTACGTCCGTTGGCAACCGCTGGCAGCCGGATCTACCATGCGTCTATGACATCCTTTCGAGTAGAATATCTGTCATCTTAACCTCGGTACTTATTATGACGTGTGGCGCCGCCCTCGTCTCCATCTACGCATACATAATGATGATTGCCAAGCACCACCAGCGGCAGATCCACCAGGAACCGAGCAGCAGCGGTTCGCAGGAGGCAAGAGCGACCGGAAAATCCTTCTCTGCCGAGCTCGCCAAGCATCTGAAGCTTGCCAAGACGTTTGGCATAGTCGTTGGCGCCTTCGTCGCCTGCTGGACTCTGTACCTCTTCCTGATGCTGCTGAGCGTCGCCGACGTCTACCACGACACGCTCGGAGTGGCCACAGGCTTCGGCTGTATCATGGCAGACTCCAACTCTTTCATGAACTTTTTCATATGTGCTTCAAAGAACAGTCAGTTCCGCGCCGCCTTCCGGGCTGTGTTGCCCTCGCGTGGACACTCGAGACGTGGCTACTGTCCAACCTTACTGGAATTATCGCGACTGTTTCATCCGTTCGATTAAGTGTTTAAGCAGGTAGTTCGATTTAGTTTTTACGTTAGCCGAATTTCGGGCGGGGTTCGGGGCAGTGTTGCCCAAGCGTTTGCCACTAAAGAACGTGGAATGTGCCGTTAAATATGGTTTA